CGGCGACCCGCTCAGCGTCTACTGCGAGCCCGGCCGCCAGGTGGTCTGCGGCCTCTGCGCCTCCCTCGGCAAGCACCGGGGCCACAGCGTCCTCACCGCCGCCGAGGCCCACCAGCGCATGAAGGTGCGCCCGAGCCCCTCCGCCCCGGCCTCGGGCCTTCCCGCCGCCGCTAACGCTGTCTTCCTCTCCCGCCCCGGCGCAGAAACTCATGCCCCAGCAGCAGGCGCAGCTCCAGGAGGCCCAAGCCCGCAAGGAGAAGACCATCGCTCTGCTGGACCAGCAGATCGCCGAGGTGGAGGTGAGGAGACCCTACGATGACCCGGTGGTGGCGGTGGGGGGACGGGACGGGACAGCGGGGACTCAGTGGTGACAGAGAGAAGCATCAATGGTCCCCAGCAGCCGATGCGATAGGGTGACCGATTGGTTGGGTGGTGGTTGGTTGGGTGGTGGTTGGTTGGATGGTGGTTGGTTGGGTGGTGGTTGCCCAGATTGGTTGGGTGCTGGTGGGTTGGGCGCTGGTGGGTTGGATGTTGGTTCACTGGGTGGTTGGGTGCTGGTTGGCTGGTTAGTTGGGTGCTGGTTGGCCAGTTGGTTGGGTGCTACTTGGTGGCTGGTTGCGTGCTGGTTGGTGGGCGGTTGGCAGGGTGGAAACAACATCCGGGGGGGACATCGTAGACCCTGCAGCGACAGAGCGGGGTGGAACGAGTTTCACCAAGCCAGGGGACACCCTCCAATAACACGGTGGGGTGGAAACAACCCCCGGGGGGGGACGTGGTAGACCTGACAACCGCAGAGCGGGGTGGGACGAGCCCACAGGGGTCAAGGGAGGCTCCGTGGTAACAGAGGACGACGTATACGAGGTCCAAAGAAGACAGTAGGTGGCAGTCTTGAGATGGTGCAGGAGACCCTACCATAACACGGGAGGCTCTAATCCGCCCAAAGGCGGCGGGGTAGACCCTACAGTAACAGGCAGGGCTGTAAACAAGCTCCGGAAGCGGGTGGTGGAACCTCCGGCAAACAGCCCCAGCAGTCCCAAAGGGGGCTTAGGCCATCCCGGCCCCCTCGGGAGCCCCCTACGGCAACGGCCCGCGGCCTCCCCGCAGGACACGGTGGCGTGCTTCAAGCGCCAGGTGGCGGAGCAGCTGGGGGTGATGCGGGGCTTCCTGGCGGCGCTGGAGACCTCCCTGGGGGGGGGGGACGGGAAGGGGGCAACTACCTGGAGCAGCTGCGGCAGATGGAGGCCGTCCTGGACGAGGTGCAGGAGGAGAACCAGACCGCCTTCCTCCGGGTGAGCCGCCGGGTGCTGGGTCGCTGGGTGCTGGTTGGTTGGGTGCTGGTTGCCCAGATTGGTTGGATGCTGG